GCATACCGTACAGGTGCACTCCTTGCCAGGCCAGGCTAGACCAGTCTGGTCAATGTTGTCCAGGAGACAATGGCAGTCAACCAACCATACTTTCTTATTTTAGCAAGGAGTAGTGTCCTGCCAATTTTCAGGTGTGTGTGTGTGCGTGTGTGTGCAAGAGTACATGTGAACATGTTCTCTGTTTTACTTTATCACTTTATCACTGTGTATATTCCCGGACAACAATTGAGAATATAAAGCCGTGCACCAAATACTTGGGTCGACACGGAAAAACCCTGCGTTTTGACGTACCGTCATATGATACATGCATGCGGTAGGGCCGTGTCAGAGGGCAGGATTTCTTAATCCAGCACCCTCGTTAATCCAGCAGAAAACGCCGTAGCAAAAGGTGCCGGATTAGAGAGTGACGACTGTATATTCATAAAAAGATGGACTTCTAGCCTTTGGCCATAAATGGGTCAATCTTTGAGTTTTTTTTAGAATGTTTTTCTGCAATCCCCTATGGATTCCTCTTCCAAAAAAATGTTTCTGAAGTCTCTTTATCCAAAAAGCAAGCCATAACAAGAATAGGATTTCGGTCAGGTTTTGCCCCAAAAGCACTGATTTGGGAAACACCATCAAAATCCAGGCCGTTTGACCCCGCCTGCAACAGTTCATTGTGCTTTTCGACCCCAGTTCAGGTACCCTTTTGGACCCGGGTTCAAATTAAAAAAATTGCAGCACTGCGCTGTGTACGATAATATCACGAAGATCGCCAAATACGGGAGCTCGCCAGAGCCAGGAACCATATTTTTATGAATGGACTGTAGAACCGGCATACCATCAATGGGAATGAACAATGTGGTTGAGCCGATGTAAGATAATTACCGCTCATGCATTGTACCATCGTGCCACGGGTTTTAGTCAATACGTGACATCTGTTCAAAAGTAATGAAATGAACATGATTGCACTTACTTTAGTGTAATCGTGCTATGTAAGTTTAATAACGAGACGTGTAGATCTTTACTTGATCAACTGATGCCAAGTATTGTTTGGTGCAAAGATCCATCAATCTTTGTTACGCTTCATGGACTTTTGACTAAAACTGAGCATGTATGTCACATACGCTGTATACAGTCAAATTATCAAGCAATGCATTTGCAATACTCAAGGCTACACGAAAGTTATATTATTATATGAGTGCACACTTTTTCTGAGTTCAAATGTAGTCTAAAAATATACTTCCTCCGCAACACCGAAATGTGCACTTATTTTTTAAGAGCCTGTGATCAATCATTCCTTGACATTGGCTAAACAGTACGTCAAAAATTGGATCCAAGTATCTAGAAAGGGAAAAGACATCTTTCGTAGCGGACGTTTGATGATGACTCAAGCTAATGGGGACTCAAACCCTCTCCTATATAATCAACATCGAGTGATACAGACACACACAAAAGAAAATGAGTCATACGATGTGTGAAACTTTCAATTTCCGTGCTCCCGTGATTTGCATGCAAAACCAATTTGCGCAGCTAGTGCACGCATGCCCGACATGTAGGCTCGTGCATGGAAAACCTGTACGCATTGCTGCGATCGCGAGGTCCTGTACCCACTAGTTGCTATCCGCGGAAGCCGGCGCTGTACTAGCCTGCAGCACGCAGTTTCAAATTGGAGTGCTTTTTGTTTCAAGATCCTGCACTGTAAGTTCTCCATCTCCTGCCAAAGTCTGAACAAGTGAAATACCAGTAGCTCACATTATGTCATTGTTCCGTCTGGACCTGTAGAGCTGAATGGCTACAAATGAACCGTGAATACTGGTGAGATTGCAGAGCTTGCACAACGTGCAGAGCTTGAGTACCATGCAACTCTGAGTTGAGATCTATTTTTGTTCCAATGGATTTCTGCTGAAATACTATGGAGAGGCTGGTTCGGGAAAAGTGCTCTGCTGGTCCTTAGGCTGTGACGTGCTATTGTTTAGAATTTGATGTTGTGCCCGCAGCCAATTTGTGATTTCTCTTACGCCATACGAGAGTAGAAAAGCCTTCAGATTACTCTTGCTAGGCAGATCGTGTCTCTCAAATACACACTGATCCTGTCCGCAATGAGAATGTGGCCAGTTTAAGGCAACATGACAAACTTACTATGGAAAAGATCAGCGCACATTGCGGTGGGGTGGCGGAAGTATGAAGATGACATTCAGACAAAGACAACAAAAGCGGCGACAAGTACGGAAACGTGTGTACACTGGGGGGAGGGGGGGGGGGGGTCAGAAGACGGTGCAGCAGCATGTACAAAGGGGTGACAAACACAGCAAAAACGCAGCAGCAGGCCGCAACAGAGTGACACAAACGCAGCAGCATGTACAACATACCTATTTGTATACAGCATATTATTTCCTAGTGTGCAGGTCAAATGCAGTCTTTGTTATGGTAATACAGTATATGTACAGTCTGCGTGGATATGGGTATACGTATAGCTCATGACATTCCATGCTCTGATCAATTGACACCAGTTGTTCGACACCAGCAACCATATAGCCCAACTCAAGCTCTTGTGCTCGGCTGTGCCTTGCTATGCTTGTGCCACACCACGTGCACACACACACGGTGACACTGCATGCACACACGGTGACACTGCATGCACACACGGTGACACTGCATGCACACACACACCACATGCACCTTTTTTGCCCTTTTGAGTTTTGACGCCCATCACCGAGGCGATGATAGCGATGCTACAGCAGAAGCCATAGCAACTTGTGTTGGTATTCCACCATTGAACAGCTTACAAGGCTGAAGAATTGACCGCCACTTTTCTGAGCCTTGTCTTCACCACACAGCCATTTGAAGAGGCCATTTCTGGCCAGTGAATCCCTCTGTGACTTTTTCGTTTTCGTTTTTTCCAGCACACATCACACCACATATTCCACCATGTACTGGCTGTTGGGACTGACCACCCAGGATTTTTCATACCACGTGCACACACCTCAGACCTCAGACATGCTCATCGGGGAAGCGATGATAGCGAACAGCTATGGTAGACTTGGCAACTTGTGCTGGGATTACACCATTCAACAGCTGGCAAGGCTGATGAATTGACCGCCACTATTTTTAGCCGGGCCACACAGCTGTTTGAAGTGACTTTTTCTGGCCAGTGAATCCCTATTTTTCATTTTTTCATTTTCCATTTTTTTTCTACACACACACACCACACCACATACTCCAGCATACACTGGCTGTTGGTAACCACCGAGGATAATGAAAGAAAAGTCAGGAAGAGTCCGAGAAAGAGAAGAAAGATGTGTGCGACCATAATCGTCGGGAATTGAACCCGCAACCTATCGATTGGAAATCGACTGCACCTACCACTGCACCACACGTCACGTGCACACACACACACACACACACACACATACACACACACACACACACACACACACACACACACCAGACACACACACACACACACACACACCTCAGACCTCAGACCTACCCATCGCGGAAGCGATGATAGCGAATAGCTTAATTAGAAATAGCAACTTATGCTGGAATTACACCATTCAACAGCTTGCAAGGCTGATGAATTGACCGCCACTAATTTTAGCCTGGTATCCAACACACAGCTGATTGAAGTGGCGTATCCTGGCCAGTGAATCTCTATTTTTAATTTTTTAATTTTTTAATTTTTTTGGACACACACGCCACACCACATCCCCCGGCATACACTGGCTGTTGGTAGCCACCCAGGATTATGAAAGAAGAGCTAGGAGAATGAGAAAGAGAAGAAAGACGTGTGCGACCATAATCGTCGGGAATTGAACCCGCAACCTCCCGATTGGAAATCGACTACACATACCACTGTGCCATATGGGACATACAGGGACACACACACACACACACACACACACATAACGCACGCACACACATACGTGTATACGTAAAGTCCGCTGCAAGTGCCCAGTTCGCAGCAAACGCTCACCCCAGCGGGTCCATACTATTTTCGTCTTTTTCAGGTCAATTTAGTTGTAGAAAACTGGCATGAAGGTCGAATGCGTACAAGAACGACTGTAATGCCTACACAGTGCCTATGTCTTACCAGGATCCTGTGCAACAGCGATTGTCATTATCTTGCTGCAAAGAAAAACTTCGGTCGGGATTTCCTTTGCACCCGATAAATGAGTCGTCTTTGTTATTGTAGTTCGTTCTCCTGATGATGGGCCAGGCCCGAAAATTTGGTGTACAGTAATGTAAATTGGAGTTTGAATTTAAATCGCAGTGAAGAGACCGTTTTTGGAGTTTAGAGTTGAGAAGTGAAGTTTCCTAAAAGTTCGTTCTCCATTATTTTGGTTTTCAAATCATGAAATTTCTGCAGTGCCATGAATGTGACGATGTTGCGCTTTCAGAACGGAACGGTGATTGTTCTGACGAAGAATCGTTCGACGACTTGACCGGTCGCAGTATTGCAGTTGCAAGTCGAACAGGGGAGATGTCACAAAAGCTACACCTACAAAGTCGCTACCAACTTGTTGAAAACTCTGAAGTGCTCGAGAAAAACCCTTGCCTTTGCGTGTTGCGTGATTCGGAAATGATGGCTTGAAACACCATCAGAAGTATATTTGGTTCCTGCCATACTCTGCTCTTCGTTACCTTGTTATTCGGAAGAAAAACCCATTTGGATTTGCGAAACACAACAAACAACATCTTAAAATCACTACGAGCTAGCTCATAGCTAGTGCCCAAAGAGACTTTGAAACCAGGAAAGTGGACATTGTTTACCGTAGCAAAGCGCTCTTCGCGCCACGGTGTGAGATGCAGTTTCGTACAATGGGAGTGACAGTGCATGGGGTCAGTGCGTACAGGCCAGCAGATCTTGCACAATGCGGTGGGCATTTGCAGCGGACATTACGGTACACAAACACACACACACATACGCACGAAAATACACACACACACTATTGGACCAGACATAGTGGTTACAACAATGTGTCCTGTTTTTCTTGTGTATTATTCGCTGTCTGTAGATTTCTTCACAAGTGTTGTCAAGAGCAACTTTCCACAGATCATCGCCAAACTAGCGACCGTACCAGATATAGTGCTCACTGAAGTATTTGTAGGTGCCTACCTGGATGAAGAGCGTATCAGCACTTATCGAACGGCATGTGAGGTGGCCGGTCATGTGCGTGATCTTCCACTTTGCTGTCAATCAGCAATTGGGGCGGCTTTACTGAACCCAGTGTCCAGCTTTGTGCTTCTCTTTTATTCCTTCCACCATCCTCTTACTCAACGACTGGATAAAGATTTCCTGATCAAGATCGACCGTGAGGCAGGATGCGATGGGAGTAGTCTTGTCCAACTGTTGAATTTGGCTATTGATTTACAGAGCGATAGTAAGTGACAATTTGAAGACTGCGATGCAAGTTAAAGAATGTCCATGATGGTGAATCCTAGTCAATGGATGATGCTGGTCTTTGTATTAGTGTGCATACCAGCTGAAGGTTATTATGAAAATACAGTTGTCTTATACTAGCAGAAATGTTCTAAATGATATTTGCTGTTTTCCAATTTGTTTGGTATACGTTATGTTCTAGCCTTGGTTTCCGTTGTGAGGAATTTTATTGAAATCGTCCATACCTAATCATAATGGCACTTTCTCCCGGTGATTTGACCTGACGCTTGACTGACTCACAACCGCCATCCAGATCACACAAGAAGTCCATTGAACTTTCAAAGTCGGCGGGAAAGCGCTAGCTTCAGTGTTGGGAGCAACTCATGTTCTGATGAAATGATCGCCGAAGTCGCAAACTCTATTTCATAGCAAAGTAAAGTAGCCTAAACCTGCCTGTCATGTTTGTGAAAATCACCAGCATTTTGTTTAGTAATTCTATTGTGCCGGATTCTTCTGATCTCATTTTCATATACAGCAGGTACCGCAATGTCAATGATGAATGATGAAGGTGTGATTGCAGTGAGAGAAGGACCAGGAGATGCAGTTGAAGGTCAGTACTGTCCTTGTAGTGGTCCTCCATTAATGCACGGCCCTATTTTAGGGGAATGCATACTCAAAGTTTGTCAGCCCGAGCCTTACGCTCGCATTCCAGCGCAAGCTTTACAGTGTCCTGCGAATTAGGACTACCTTTCTCAGCGCGGCCGGCGAAACTGAGTGTCCACAGAGTTACCGAGGAACATCTCAGCCTGACAGTAAATCCTTCTGCGAATTAGAGCGCCGTGGAAATGAGTGCCCAAAAGGTCAGCGCAAAATACCCCAGAGAGACAGAAAAGCGTGTGGTTAAGTTAGCAAAACCTGATTCTGCCAGTGATCACTGTTATTAAGTGTTACACTCAATGGCGTCGCACACTTTATGACCGGTGAGACAAAGGTCGTCCGACGTGGTCTGCGCAATTTTTCCTAAAATCAGTAATCATTTCGTAACATGCGCTCCTACATGCACTTGTGCAAACACTGTGCGCACAACTCCTGGAGTTGACTGGAAGTAGACCAGGGTAAGCATATGCCATTATGCGCTATTTACTGGTACTGTTCTGTCTGGACCCACAGTTGTTGCCAGTAGACTAGTATACAGAGTACCAGGCAGTTGTATTTAGTGCTGGGTGCTATGTGCTATGTAGTTACATTGACTGTTGCTGCAGTGTCCATGTAAGCATGGTAGTCTAGATGTATATGTATGTCTTCAGCTCACACACACACACACACACACACAGAGTCACACACACACACACACACACACACACACACACACACACACACACACACACACACACACACACACACACATGTAACGGAAATGCTTCTCCCCCTGGCCCTCGCCACACAACAACGCAAACTCTTGATTGTATCTTCAATACTCTTATATTATACCAAGAAATGACGAGGGCGCAGGAGGAGAGAGAGACGAAAAGACTAGACAGAAAACGACGACGGGAAAGACTCCCGGGAAAAGACTCAGAGGATCAACAAAGAACAAGCAGTAATAAACCGAGGACAAATCGTGACGACCAATCAGGGACTAATACGTACAGAACACATGACCAAGACCAAGACAACCAGACCACGGACGAATCACACACGACTCTCATTCCCAGACCAAACTAGCACTGCGCATGTACTGCATTCACTTGACAGTCACTCTCACACAGACGGAAGCACATCCTCACACTCTGACAACGCGTACTCCTGCATGCACCACATACCATAAACGTCACACATCACACCATACTCGCGCGTACACCTAGACCATATATGACATCAGACACTGGACTCCACCAGACAAGAACCAAATACAACGACATGCGTAAATCAATACAAGACGAAATCCGTTACACAGCCCTCCGCTCCGGCGAGAGTCGACCTCGACTCTCGGAAAAATAAAGAACAAATGACAAAAATCCGAGAAAAGAAGCAAGACAACAGGAGGAGAATGATGAGCAGGCGGCAGGGAACGTGCAGAGGCTGAGTACGGTGAGTAGGTCCCTTGCCTTGGTCGACTTGCCAGTTCGATAGGGAAGCGCAGTGTAGAACATGTACAAATCACACAGACGGAACAGCAGAAAACAGCAGGCATGTAGTCAATCAGTGAAACAAAACATAACCTCGGCGCGGAGCCGGCATCAACATCGTTTTTTTTTTTTTTTTGTTTTTTTTTTTTTTTTGGTTTTTTTTTTTTTTTGTTTTTTTTTTTTTTTTTTACAAAACCCTCGGCTCTAAGCCGGCATAAGTGTCCCACACTTTCCCGATGTCGGACCATCGTGTCGTCCCACGACCCCGTATGATCCTCTTGTCGTCCCACGACCCATAATACTTTTATTTTACAATTCCCTGACAAACTAAATACTAGACACAGGAGCCCACCAGCTCACGAAGCGGACCGTGGCTCACCATGATCGGACATCCACAGGGCAAACCGGGCAGACCCGCAGGTCGACACAAAACAAGATAAACAAAAGACGCTCACTGAAAGACCAAACCGAACTAAGCTGACAAACCAAACAGGTACACGACTACACTGAAAGGCTAATCAAGAAACTGCACAAACCCCAGCAAATATACGTACACTGACTGCCAAAACCCAAAACAGAAAGACACAAGAGAGACACAAGAACCGGATCGCCGTCACAAAGACTGATGGTATCGGAACGATAGCGCGAAAAGATAACAAGCAACAAAAACAAAACCCACAGCACCCGGGCCCTGGGTGTGTCCGTGCAGTAATGCTTACGACAACAAAATAGGCAGGCAAGTGAATAAACTACAGCGAAAGCCATAACTGGGATTGACTCACCGGGAAAGAGGCTTGCTTGTAGTGCAGCGCGAGGTTGAACCAGCCTGATGAACGACCAGTTCCGCTTGCCGAAATAAAAATAATAAAGTCGCCACACGTCGACAAAACTGAAAGGAGAAACGAAAGGACCACGGCGAGCATAAACTACTTGTGGAGAAGTAGAATCAGGTTCGAGCCAGTCTCCACGTTGGGCGCCACTGTAACGGAAATGCTTCTCCCCCTGGCCCTCGCCACACAACAACGCAAACTCTTGATTGTATCTTCAATACTCTTATATTATACCAAGAAATGACGAGGGCGCAGGAGGAGAGAGAGACGAAAGGACTAGACAGAAAACGACGACGGGAAAGACTCCCGGGAAAAGACTCAGAGGATCAACAAAGAACAAGCAGTAATAAACCGAGGACAAATCGTGACGACCAATCAGGGACTAATACGTACAGAACACATGACCAAGACCAAGACAACCAGACCACGGACGAATCACACACGACTCTCATTCCCAGACCAAACTAGCACTGCGCATGTACTGCATTCACTTGACAGTCACTCTCACACAGACGGAAGCACATCCTCACACTCTGACAACGCGTACTCCTGCATGCACCACATACCATAAACGTCACACATCACACCATACTCGCGCGTACACCTAGACCATATATGACATCAGACACTGGACTCCACCAGACAAGAACCAAATACAACGACATGCGTAAATCAATACAAGACGAAATCCGTTACACACACACACACACACTCACAGAGTCATAAAGACAGTATACTAAGCAACGAACACCTAGCCTACAGGATACTAGTTAATCAGCTATGGTAGATGTATGAGGTGTTGACATGTCATGTCGGCACGGTGACGGCTTTTCCATGGTAGCTGGAGCTGCGCAAGAAATGTCTACTTGGCTTACTTAGTTTTCTGTTGTGGTGAAACAATGTCAGTACGAAAGGTAGGACAGCCTCTGCATTGTAACTGGAGCTGCGGAAGAACTGTCTGCTTAATGTACTTAGTTTTCTGTACTGGTGAAACAATGGCAGTATGAAAGGGAGGAATGCCCCTCATAATCAAATACAGTCAACTTTGCCAATAACGACACTCGGCTGAGCATCAGAAAAGTGTCCTTGTTCGCGAAGTGTCCTTATACCCGAAGTCCCATTTGAATGTATGTGAACCCGTATTTTGTCTAGTATGACATGCGTATCAAAATGAAGCTCTTTTCCTGCTCTATGCATTGTGTACTTTATTTTCATATTACGATTGAAAGGAACTATAAAGTCAATATGCAAGGGAAATAGATTGAAAAATTAGCCTTTTGCAGCCATCTACAGGTACAGGGACATGCACAATCATGTACATGTATGATGATTACTTTACAATCATGTACAACTACATGACATCACCCAAATTATTTTGAAGCAAAAAATATAAAAAATAAAGCCCCCCCCCCCCCCCTTGGCTGCATCTTCTTGCATGTGTGCCTTTATCCATCACCATGGGTTCTGGTATTACTGCTGCATGACAGGTACTTGAAATAGCTGTCAAAAGCCCAGAAAGTCGTTATTCAAGCAGTGAATATGACCTCGGGGCACTAAAAGCATGTTGCTATCCGCGAAATGTCGTTATTCAGATAGTCGTTGTATCCGAAGAAAAATATAATACAGCTAGATGGGACTTTGCTCTGGGCATAGAAATTCTGTCGTTATTCGCGAGTTGTCGTTATATCCGCAGTCGTTATTAGCCAAGTTGACTGTAATAGACAATGAGAAATGTTGCAGAGCATGTGATTTCAGCAGACGTGTCACATGATTGGCAGGTACTGGTTTGAACAGTGCTAGGATAAGAAGTGCTACGGAAATGTTTTGCACTGACACTCAGTGCATTACCACAGGCACGTGGTGTGCAGATAATTTGATGCAACTTCAAGAGATTCAATACCACCTTCTTCTCAGCTTTAATTTGCTCGAATGCACAGCAGTCCGTAACATTCCACTGAAATGCTTGTGCTCAAATGGTCGTGCTAAACTGTCCATGTTGAAGTTCTGGTGCTGAAATGGGATTAATCCGGGTGTTGTAGGCT